AATAAATAAATAAAATTTAAGTATAGTTTAAAAAAAAATAATCATAATATAATTATGACAATTATAATTAATTCACTCTTTCTAAACCAATGAGAATCGACCCCACTTTTCTCCTTTACACACACAATCACGTGACATTATTATTATTAGACAGGCAGTCAACCCGGCCAGGCTGTCAACAAGTACGTCAGCGAAAATTTCGGCTTCTTTTTCTTTTCCAGGTCATAATAGTAGCATAGAACTGGACACTCATCACGCCCATTTATAAAATATATGAGAAAGACTGTATACACTTTACTTATGCTTTATCTTAGCATTCTGTCAGATTACAAACCATATTTAATCTACTTGACCCCAACTCAAAATTCACTCAGTATTACATTTCCTCATGTCTTCAACATCACATAGCAACTAGGAAATAAATAAGATCTGTTTTGTTATTTCCACATCTTGCTGTTTCTCATTTTTACAAGTATTTTTTTGTATATTTAAATGTTAGGGTATTTATAATTTACTCAGATTTATAACTCGCCTACAGATTATCATATAGCAATGTATGTCATAGCAAATTCTTTTTTATATCATTGTTTAACTGTTCCCAGCTTTGTCGATTAGATCCTTTCATATTGAATAGGTTCTTATGTGACCAACATAGGATTGTCATACTTTTCCACCAGTAGAGGAAAGAAAAAGATGACAGTAGAGGAAGGATTCTCTGTGTGGATCTGGATGCTGGACCAACCTTGCTCTTGTAGTTAGAATAATGTCTATAGATTAGCAACTGGTCCAAATACTATCCAACTAATAAGCTAAGTAATTTATTACAGGTCTTTAGGATGGTTCTGATATTGTTCTTCTAGTGTTGTGCTGACCACTGACAGCACCAAAAGAGCTGTCAGTGATCGATAAACATTCTGTTTACTGTTCTGGTGAAGGTTTAAGATATGCATCTTGGCTTAGCTTTGTATTTTCCAACTAAATTATCTTGACACTCATTGCACACACATCTATAAAAAAACATACAAGAAAGACTGTATACACTTTACTCTTTATCTTATCCTTCTGTCCGTTTCCAATCCATATTTGATCTACATTTGACCCTAAACTCACAGTTCACACAGTATTAGATTCTCTCGTTTATTCAAAACCACATAAGAACCAGATAATAAATAATATTCGTTTTCTTGTTTCCACATCTTGCCGTTTCTCATTTTTACAAGTAATTTTTGTATATATAAAAGTTAAGGGGGTTTATAATTGTTATTATTGCTCAAGTTATAACTTTTCTATCATACTTATATATAGGAATTATATAAAACCCTACCGCCTGTTCCTGTCTGAAATGGGTAATAATGCCTTAATCCCATTGCAGGATCTTACAATCCCGGGATAGTCAACCATTATAACAAAATACGACCACCTAAACCGCCACGTTCACGAGCTCGGTGCCTACATCAAGGAAGCATTTCCCTGTGGTAGGGACACAAAAAAACGAGGACACTGATCTCCCGTATATGTTTTTCCGCGTGGCCCTTGTTTATAATACCACATTCATCTTTGTTCTGTATCGTCTTCAGGATGAAGGGTCAGTAATCTTCGATCGAATATCAGAGAGGATTATAATATCCTCACCGAATTTCCCTCGGACAACGTTCACATATGCGATGACTTCAATGTTCACCACAAAGAGTGGTTAGATTACTCTGAGAAAAGACTTGTCAACCCCATATGAAGTAACCCGGATTATTGAAGAACCCACCCGAGTCACGAATGCGGCGAGAGATCAGGCGTACTTCCTAGACCTCAAAAATGCTCAGCAAAAGTTTTAGCTCCCATTGCTATGTCAGGTCATTCTCTAGTCAGAGATTGACTCCAAAACCAATGGCATCCCATGATTTACCGTTCCATAGAACGAGTTTTGCTATGCGGAGGCAGATTGGGACAACTTTCGCTCTTATAAAACAGAAGCTCCTCATCCAAACTTTTTCAAACATGCTGCCCCCAGAAACTGCTGCCTTAATCTCCGAATGGATCCTTTCTGAAATGGAGTGTTTTATACCCTCTAAAAATTCCAGCAAAAATCAGTCAGCCCTGGGCAGTAGGTACTTGACTACTCATGCTATTCTCTACTTTTAGAAAAGCTAGATAAAGCCGAAAATGGAATACTGTTGTCTTTGAGATGCCCACACCTCACCTTCCAGTCTTGATATAGTTCAAAGGCGTTTCCGAGTCATTGTGAAAGAAGACTTATTTTCCATCTCCAACCTTTCTTTCAGAGGCGGGATGTGGCGTCCTATCGCTACTACCATAGAAAGTGCTCGGACGAATTGCATCTCCAGAATCTATCAGGTCAGACCTTCATGTCTAGGACCCACCATGGCACTTACATAGTAGCAAATTACCCACATTTCCCTCGTAGTCCATAGGCAAGAAATAAGTTCCAATCAAACAGCTTCCTGCGAACCACCGCCCTATAGGACAGACTATCAGTACAATCTTAACCTGTCCAAGTCTAGAGTCAACCGATATCTTCCCCTCCTATCAATATAAAGTACACACCGTAACTCCCTACCACGAGTGACCCCTGGCCATGTAGATGGTGAACAGTAATATATATATATATATATATATATATATATATATATATATATATATATATATATATTTGAAAAAAGATTCTTACAGGTACAAAATTTTATTATAGCAAGGAATAAGCGGAATGTAAAGGACCTAATTATGAAAACTAAGAACTAAAACAAACAACCGGTTTCGTTCTTGAGGAGTACTGGGACGAAACCGGTTTGTTTTAGTTCTTAGTTTTCATAATTATGTCCTTTACATTCCGCTTATTCCTTGCTATATATATATATATATATATATATATATATAAGACATGAAAACTTGACAGGATAAAACGACGTCTTCTTTCCAGGAAATCTCAGCTACAACTGCTGACACCCTTATTGAGTCAAGAGAGTAATAAGATGGAGAAAAAAATTGCCAACTCGGAATTACGAGGATTTTAAAGATTTTGGGTGAAGAAGAAGAAGAAGAGGAAGAAGAAGAAGAAGGCGAAGAAGGCGAAGGAGAGCTATATTAAGCTAAACTTAGTAAACACGGTAACAATTTTCTTTTTCTTTCTCTAGTCTCTCGTCTTGTGGACTACTGAATTTAGCTTAGCAAATACGTTGTCGTATTCTGATGGCCGGCTGGACTTTTGATTTACCTTCACAAGGACAGCTATTAAGCTACAAAAATAAAATAAATATATTTCATCTTCTTTTGGCATAACTATTGATCGATATATTCTTCGACTTTCTCCATATGTTATATTCAACATTTAGAATTAGTTTCGCGCTTTTTTCTTATTCCTCACCTTTTATCTCGACTTGAATATTACAATTCAGTTGTTCTATGAGGCATGTCCCTTCAGGACGTAGGCGAACATGGCTCTCTACAATTTCCTGTCCTTCGTAACTCTTAATAAATTTTGTCTTTTTGTTATTTTTCCTAAACCATGTACGTCATCCATTTACTAAGTAGATTATACGTTATTTTCCTTTATTCCTCTTGACTTCAATCTGTCCTGTGAGTATCAGATTTTCTAAACCCTCTTTCTTTATTATATATCCTATGAAATTTCAACTGTTTTTTCCTGCTGTCAAGTATAAGATTCCTTTTCGTTTCCATTTCATCTAAAATTTCATTGTTGCTGACATGTTCGGTCCAAGGTATCTAGTTACTCGAGATGAGGTACTAAAATATACTGGCTTACGATCACATCACGTTGAAACGGAATTAAAAATCGGAGAGCTGAGTTCTATATTCACTAACGCGCAAATACCCTTAGGAAAGGTATAAATCCTCCGTCAGCTATGGGTTAATTATTATGTCTTGTATCAGTAGAGCATTATTATCTAAAAAATATTCTTACAGTTTAAAAAAAAAATTCTGGGTTTAAATATCCTGCAAATAAGCCTTAAAATGTAAATACATCAGTAAATATTAAATTGTGTGATATTGGAGATCAGACATAAATTATTTGGAAGAATTTAATTTGGAATAATAAAAACAATTCATTTCAGAACTTTAGAGAGAAATATAAACAATTTCTTGAATAATATATGTAACTAGCAGCATGGCTCGGCATTGACCGTGCTTGATTCAAAAATCGTACGACTCATACAGCAATCGCTATCACTTGACTTAAAATATTTTTACCCTTCCTTGCCTTTAAAGGAGTGCTCTTTTCCGTGCTGATGTTGCTACATGCCTTACTTCTTGCCTATCTCACACTGCAAATTTTTTCTAAGCTCTATACTAAACATTAAATCTGTTACGAAAAAAGAACTAAACAAAATGAACACAAAACAATCAGCTTTAAAAAAGGACTCGTAACTGGAAAAACTGAATGAAAAAAGAATGTTAACAACAAATACTTTTTCACACCCAACCCAGTTCTGCGGAATCAGAATCAACGTTGAGTTTAAGCAAGCGAATGAGCCAATTGGAGTAAAGTGGCATGCAGATTTAAATGTTTCCCACTTGTGACGAATGCAGCTATCGATTTTTTTGTTGCATGCTAGTTAACATTCGTGTCAGTCAGCTGTTGGCTTTTACGCTGGCCAATAGAATCTTCCTGCCTATTCGTGGCAGCCAGCTATAGGCTCTCACTCTGGCCCGTAGAAAATGGCCGCAAACTACATGAAAAGTGCCGTAGAAGCATGAAAAAATCGATTAATTCCACTATCGATGGGAGTTGGGAAATGCAAAGTCGGTCTTGGCCTTCCCACTAACTTGGAGCATGTGCATGTAAATTTTGGTGCAAATCCGTCGAAAATTGCGGCCGTGCATTCGTTACACACACACACACACACACACACACACACACACACACACACACACACACACACACACACACCCTGCCTTTTATAGATAGAGATTTTGAAAACAACCTCAGAACTTCAGAAACCGCAACTATCTTCTTAATAAAATATCTTCCCCTGTTCTCGAACGATCACTGAAGTTAAGCAACAATGAGCCTGGTTAATATCTAGATGAGTGACCGCTTGGGAATACCAGGCGCTGTAAGTTTGGATGTGCGGATGGAATCTGAAATCAGATAGCCGAGTACAACAGTCGGTTTCATTATATTTCCTTACGTACAAATAACCTTAAGAAAGATATATTTATCCACCTCTTCTTCCCCCAGCGTCGGGTTAATTAGTAGCATTTACATCAGTAAATCATTATAACCCCCCTCCCCCAAAATTCTTAAAATCTAAAAATATTTGTCTGGCTTTAAATAACCTGTAAAATGTTGGTAAGCCATAAAAAAAATCCATCAAAATATTTGTTATTGTTGCTTAATTCTCTTGACTATTTATATATGTTGCTATTTGTTATGTGGCTATTTGTTATATGTTGCTATTTGTTATATGTTGCTATTTGTATATGTTGTTATTTGCTATATGTTGCTATTTATATATGTTGTTATTTGTTATATGTTGCTATTTGTTATTGTTACTTAATTCTCTTGACTATTTATATATGAAAAGATGATCTCTCGTATTTAGAATAATCTCTTCAATACTTTATTTGTTTTGAGACGATTCGTAATACCTTGTTCATTTTATTTGCTCGAGACGATCAAATGAGCTTTCGTGTTGGTTTTTCTTTTCTTTAATGCCTTTTATAATAAACACATCAAATTCGTTTCTGATCGTTAAACTTGCTTCTATTTTATTTTATAAAGTGATTACCCTTCTATTAGGTAGAAGAGGATGAGAAGGGAAGACCCGGTGTTCGCTCTTTAATGAGAATTATGCATTCTTTGCATAACGGCAAACCAGATTAGTATTCTGAAACATGATCTGGTACAAATTGCATCAGTTCTTAGATTTAAGATGTCCACTAATTACCACGTAAACTTGATATCTCGTTATTGAAGACAGTATTTTACAAGTGGCCACCTGCAGAGCCATTCTCTCCTCAGATAATAAAGAGAAGCAGTTTTCTTACCGATATAAGACTCGATCCACTTAGGTTTCATTAGTGTTGTTTTTTTTTAAGATCATTTCCCAAAAGAGTCTGAAGAGTTGCATCACGCACATTGAAAACTTATAAAGATTTTAAAATAACCAGATTGGATTTTACAAGTATCTTACATGGTACATTCTAAAAGCGAACCTGATTTAACATTTTATATTGCCATTATAAGTTGTATTGTAGGAATACAAAAGTCGATTGCATCCCTTTGGTTGATATAAAGTCACATGACGTCCGCTTATGACGTCACTGGATAGAATGTCGAAAGTGGCTGGCCGGTCAGTCAGGTTCCAGGTGTCAAACCAAACACTTATTATTTTTTACCTGAAGTTAAATCTGCCCCCCCTCCACGGCCAGCTGCTACATGCCACCGTTTACCTTTGGGGGATATAGCTACCCCAGATATAGAAACTATTTTTTTAAATAACCAGATTCGATTTTACAAATATCTTACACGGTACATTCTGAAGGTGGAGTTGATTTGCCATTTTAAATTGCAAATATGAGACAAGATTATTGTACGGATACAAAAGGCGATTATGCCTCTTTGGTCGAAATGAATTCACGTGGGTCACGTGGCATCCAATTAGTCACGTGAATCCTGAAAGTAGCTGGTTTGTCAGTCAGCTTCCAAGAAGCAAACCAAGCAGTATTTTTTTTTTTTTAACTGAAGTTAAATCTGCATCCTCCGGCCACCTCTTACATGGCACCGTTTCCCTTAGGAATATATGTTCACCAGATATAGAAATTTTCTCCGGCTCGTATTCTTTATGTTGGGGAAAGACGTGTGTCTCCGTTTCCTGTTTGAGAGGAATATGTCCTCGCTAATGACAGAGCAGATGAAATAAACCTGTTCGTACCTGGAATCATAAATATAGCTTCCTCAGAAACGCATAAGAATCTCCGGCAGTCCCAATTCTTGTTGAGAATCATTACAAGTAAGACTCTGTTTTCCACCACGTTTCACACTGCTTGTTGTTGCATATATGTGTTAGAATTTCTTTGCTGGGACACGTGTTAATATGTATATATAATTTAGCGGTATAATGCTTTCTCAGAAGGCAAAAGATGTTTGTCATACTTTTTGATTCAGCTATTCCGTCCCGTTAGTGAAATAAGGTGGTATTATATCTTGGAATATAATAATGCCCATAATAGAGATGGCAAATGGGAGAATATTGTTTTTCTTTTCTTTCCAAAGCTCAGCTTTTAGTATAAAAGCAGGGGATATATAGAAACTAGCTCTTTACATAATCCGGAAGATTTCGATTAAGATTCGTTAAACAAATATATAGAAACTTTTATTCACTATTTACATTATTCGGACTATTGTCCTCATCTTTGTCGCCATATTTATTACAACGTTTCGGCTGCTGTACACTCCGGCCTTCTTCAGGTGGTTGGAATGTCGAACTGAACCCTTTATTTCACTCACTGTGGTAGACTGTTCTAGTTCCACGTGCCATGTTTAATGGATGTCAGTTGTCACTTATTTCCTGTTAATTCCCCTCTGAAAGTTCTCCACTGCCTTAACCAGGTATTGAACTTACATTCTTTGAGTCCTGTCACTAGATCTAACTAACGTCTTTATCCCCAGGAGATAACTGAAAACTGATATCCATTAAGCATGACACGTGGAACTAGAACAGTCTACCCCAGTGAGCGAAATAAAGGGTTCAGTTCGATAATGCAACCACCTGAAGAAGGCCGGGGCGTACAACGGCCGAAACGTTGTAATAAATATGGTGAGAAACATGAGGACAATAGTCCGAATGATGTAAATAGTGTGCATAATACCTCATCTCAGAAATATAGACAGACAAACTTTTATTCGTATTAATAATTATTGGGGTAGTATTTTACAAGTAACTGCCTGCAGAATAATTACCTCCTCGGACAATAAACGGAATCAATTTTGGTTGTTTGTTCGTTTCACGCCAAACCAACACCTTTATGGGTTATTTAATGCCGACTCTATAAATATTCTGTGCGCAATTTTATTTTATCTTTGGAGATAATAATGGTTTAATGATAAACGTCTTACTAATTAACCCATAGCTGGGGGAGAAGAGGTGGATATATACCTTCCTCATAGGTATTTGCGCGTAATTGAATATAGCGAAGCCAACTTTTGTTGGGACTAGGTCCACTGATTAAAATCTTCGACTATACATTACACCATCCGCAAATCCAAGCTTACAGCACCTGTTATCTACAAGCGGTCGCCCATTTAGGTATTGATTAGGCTAAATGCTGCTGAGCATCAGTGACCATACGGGAAGCGGAGTTTCAATGTGATGTGCTCGTAAGCCCAAATGCAATTTGTATGAGAAATAAGGTTTGACCCACTGAGATTTCATCTGAATAGATTTGCGTTCGTTTTTCTTGTGGTACTTTTCATGAAAGAATTTGAGGAGACGAAAACTTGTAAAGATATAAAAATATGAGATATTTGTATAAAAGGAGAGAATATATAGCAAATAACTCTTTAAATAACTCAGCATATCACGAGTAGAAATAAATAACTTTTATTCGCATTAATGATTATAGCGACATAAAAATGTAGTATTTTTTATTACAGAAATGCATTGTAATATTTTGACTACGAGGGTGAGTCAAAAAGTAATGCAATTTGTTTTATTATATAATAAATAAGGAATATAGTCAAACATATCGTACATCAAGATACAGCTATACATCATAGGTTCACATCCTTACTTTGCAACATAGTCACCACCTCTTTCAATGGCAGTATTCCACCTATGAATGAGGGGCATGTACCTCAGCTTCGTAAAACTCAGCTGACTACTGATGTAGCTAATTCCTCAAAGCAGTTTTCATATCTCCATCACAATAATAATGTTTGCCGCTCAGTGCCTCCAAAAAGATGGAAGTCTCAGAATGCTAAGTCTGGTGGTGATGAAGAAGTGAAAATGGGTTATTGAGTGGAAAATAATTAATCACCTACAAGTCCGCGTCGACACTTTTGAATGCTATCAAGACTGGCAAGTGAGGGCTGAGCAGCTTCAGCATAGATATGTCAGCAATACTTTATTTTTGGTCTGACCTGATTTTTTTTTAAAGATAGATCATCAGAGGAGAGCATTATGGCGTTTGGATAAGTACTGCTAGTCAATAGCATCTGGGTAAACATTAGCCTTTCAAATACAGGGTGACCCCACAAAACGGGAACTTTTTAACAATCCAATAAAACCAAGAGTGATGAAAGAAAAATATTTTATTCATAGTAATTGAAACCTTAAAACATGCCATTTAAGAGACAATGATGGAATTTTCATTTTTAAAAAATTACGTCCTGTAGATGGCGTCCTCCTGTACGAATGCATTCTTGAAATCTGCTGTTGAGATTTCTCATTGACTGCTGCAGCATCTCAGCTGGGATACTGTGAATTTCATCTTGAATTCTAAATGGCGAAATGTTTACTTGCTCAAGGTCACTGTCTCGCAGTGTTGCCACTTACTCATGTCTGGCAATACGCACTTCAAAAATTCCCGTTTTTTGGGTCACCCTGTACTTCAAGTATAAAATCTAGGGAATATTTTTTTTGTATTTTTAGGAAAGTGATTGTGTCTTATATACAGTAAAAATATAGATATTCTAATTGAATGGTCTTATTATCAGATTACTTAAGGTCTACTTGGTGGCTGATATAGTTACAAATTCCCCACTTAAAACAATGGACAATGTTTAATCCAAGAAAAACTAATATTCTGAATGCTTATTTATAAGGCAAGCTCTTTACACTTGGAAGATTGGATTAACATAATTATTAAAAAAAATAGTTTCTTTCCAAGCAAACATTTAATGTCATTGAAATATGAAGATGTCGTAAGCAAAAATAAAAATGTGTAAAATGATAATAATAATGAATAAATCCAACCAATGGCACATGGAACTAGAACAATCTACCCCGATGGATGAAATAAAGGGTTCAGTTCAAAATTCCAATAATCTGAAGAAGGCTAAAGCATACAATAGCCGAAACATCATGAATATGGCAATAAAGATGTAAATAATGTAA